ACTCTATTAATCCACTGCAGGTCACTCCCTGGTCAATGAAATTTTTCTTCTATCATATTAAAGGCTCTTGGGCCCTCATTTTCATCCTTTTCTGTCCAGCCCATTCAAACTCCAGGGGGATCATAAGGAACCACTGCTTTCATCTACATCTGGCATCTCTTCATGCATTTCCCCATCTGTGTGAGAAGGTTGCTGCTCTGAATTATTGAAAAGTGCTGTATATTCTGTATCGGCAGCTAACCTATGGCAGGATACATCTCTTACATAAGACAGAGGCTGCTAGCTCTTCCTGAACACTCATTCTTCCTTTCTTTCTCAGAGAAACAGACTTTCCATTTCCAGTTGGGTACAAGACCACCTAGAATAAAAGCCCACTTATCCCACCTTCCTGTGTCGCTAGTTACAACCACATGACTAAGATCTGGCCACAGGAATGTGAGAAGAAATTCGGAAAGCAATTTCCAAGTTGTGTCTTTGAAGAATAAACCATTCCTATTTCTTCTCCCTAGGTCATGCTGCGCTCGAAAATAATCCCACATGGGAGCAAAATCAGTATCCTAGAGATGACAGAGCAACAGAAGAGCTCCCAGCACTCTCATGGAGGACAGCCCTTCTACCTGTGCTGAACCACTTAATTCTGGATGTTGCAGAAGAAAGAAAGGAACTTCTATCTTGTTTGACACTGTACTATATTGGCCGCTATTCAGGCTGCTAAATCTAATAAACAGGATTATCTATCTACATTTCTTTCCTCTGTTCGGCCAACCTGGCTAGAAAACTGGGGGGTGGGGGGGTCTGCACCAATGGAGGTACTATGGGAATTTGTGAGAGATTGCCTCAGGGTGCCAGGACTCTGACCCGGAAAGTCAAGAATTAGCAAGAGGTGAGGTTGTAATGCAAGAGAAGAGGATAACAGCCCCCCAAATATCAGGAATTAAGATAAAAGAAGTCAAATCTGACAGAGTCACACAAAGTAGAAAGCCCTAAAGCGAGTACACTCATGTTGTCAGAAATACAGGAAACCTAGCACACAGGCCTGGACAGGTAGAGTCAGGAGCCTGGGCAGAGAAATTCTAAAATCTTCAAAGACCACAGCTGCAAAGTGAAATGTGTGAACGTTTCTGCCCACTGGCTATGGGCTTCTTACACTGAGGTGGTCCAAGCTGACTGGCTTAATTGCATCTCATGGTTCTCCAGTCTTAAAAGCACCTAGCCTTCATCCGAGCAGGAAACTCACTGCTTGTATCAGAAAGGTAGGTTGTAATCCTTGCAGTGAACTGGAGGTCTCACTGGTAGAGAGAAACCTAGACCATAAGGATTCCTCTGGAACCAGTGGAACAGAAAGTCTAGACTCGGGGTTTAGACTGCACCATCCAATATGCTAGCTATCAGCTACGTGTGTCTACTAAACACTTGAAATGTGGCTAGTCAGAATTGAGATATGCTGTAAATGTAAAATGAACAATGGATTTTGAAGACAGAGCAAAAATAGATTGTAAAATATCTCATTAATATTTTTATATTGATTACATGTTAAAATGGTGTTTTGGATATATTATTAAATATATATAGCATTAAAAATTAATTTCTCCTGTTTCTTTTTACTTTATTTTACATGGGACTTTTAGAAAATGTAAAATTACATCTGTGGCTCACATTGTATTTCTACTGAACAACACTGGTCTAGACCCTGGGTTTCTTATACTTGGAAGGAACTTTTGTTTTCCCAAGTGAGAGAAGGTTCAGACTGCAGACCCCTGACACCTGAGTCACATCTCATCACCAAAGTAGCATACAGCCAATTGGACTCCAGTCATTTCCTTCCCTTTCTTGTTTGGTAAGTCCAAATATTTTGGGTTAATGTAAACTCTCAGCCATAGCAATGGGATTCTGTGCACCGTCTCTCATGAAGAGATCATTTTTGACCAAATTCTTGATCTCCTGGAATTGTTATAAGGCAGTTTTAGACATTAAAAGTTGGAAAAAAATCTATTTAATTTAAAAACATTAGAAAAAACAGTAGGAGACACTTTTTATATAGGATTTTCTCACACACCTAACTAAATATTCATTGCAGTCTGTCCTAAAGCAGTACCTCCTGTTAGCACAAAGAATGTGTCTTTCCATGTGATATGACAGGGTAAGGAGTATACGAAAAATTTAAATAATAACCATTTTTTTAAAGAAGACAATTCTCTTTTCCTTGACCATTCTATTCTGAAAACACAAAGGCCTTTACAGAATCCCTTCATTAGGGGACCCCTAATGAACCATGGCTCATCCTCAGATTAGCAAACAACTGAACAATCAGTAAAAAATTTAGAAACAAATAAAGGAAGTTTAGGTAGGCAGCTTTGCCAGACTGTATGTACATGATAGAGTTGATAAGTTTTAATAAATCTGTATTATTTAAAGAAATCTGGGAGTGACTGCTACTGCATTATGGGGTGGAAGATTAATAGACTTTTCCTTTCTCTTTGGGTCTCATTTAAATATGAGAAGAGAACTCTGCTACCGGAGTCTACAATGGCTACTGATTTTCATGCCAAGTGCCCAATACTCCTAAAGAAAAGCCCTTCCTTTTGTCGAAACAATGCATTTAGCAATGCAGTAAACAATCGTGCTGCAAGTGAGCCTGTTTGCTCATGGTTTTGGTTTTTCTTTTATCTGGCTTCCTTTAAACTTTCTGCGTAGATCTGATTCTTTTAACCTCTGCTAAGCTTTTCTTAGATTTACCAAAAAAAAAAAAAGTAAGACACATTTGGGTTAAATTAAAAAAAATGAGAATCTAATATGGATGGACCTTGAGTGTATTATGCTAAATGAAATGAGTTAAACAGAGAAAGACAAATACTGTATGATCTCACTTATATGTGGACTAGTAGAAACAGGCAATAGGATGGTAGTTACCAGGGGTTGGCAGAGATGTTGGTCAAAGAGAACAAATTTCCAGCTGGAAGAAAAAGCTCTGGGTATTTCATAATGCACAGCATTTATGATTATAGTTAACAGCACTGTGTCAGACTTGAGAGTTGCTGAGAGAGTAAATCTTATATGTTCTAATAAAAAAAAAAGAAATGGTAATTACGTGACATGCTGAGTAGCTAATGCTATAGTGGTAATCATATTGCAAAATATATAAAATCAACACATTTACACTTTAAACTTATAAAATGTTGTATGTCAATTATATCTCAATAAAACTGGAAGAAAAATAAAGCTATGGGGGTCTACTGTAAAGAGTAGAAAAGAGAAGAATAGACATGCCAGATGCTGGATTCCCCCCCATCCCGCCATTTTCCACTCCCCTAACCCCACCACAGAAAATAAAGTCTTAGGGAAATAAGAGAATAGATCAAGATACAGTGCAGTCAATTCTGGTCTAACACCTGAGTTATCTCGTCCCTGTGGGTGTGAAGACAATTTCATTTCCCACCTTTGGGATGACTCAGCAACTCTCTCTGTTCCCCTGCGGCTCCTGACTAAAAGGCATTCACTTTCCCTGCTTCTCAATTTCACCTCATTGGTGAAAGCCAAGCTGGGACTCAAGTACAGCAGTTTTTCCATTCTGTTTTAGTTCAGCCCCTTCTCATTGTTATCCATAATCTTGTGAACTGCATTAGGAATTATTTTAATCATTTGTCCTTTTTTTGCAATGAAATTTATTAAACATGATTAAGTCAAAATATTCTAGATCGTGAGCAAGGCATAACATATAGAGATGTCGAATCACTGTGTAGTACACTGAAACTAATGTAACATTGTGTGTCAACTATACTCAAATAAAAAATTAAAATAAAATGAAAAATAAAAATAAAAGTAAAGATTCAAAAATTGAGCTTTACACTATATATAAACATTAAACATGGTTTTTCACAGGTAATTGGAGATGAATATGATTTAACTAGCTTTAAATCAGTTAAGAGAAATGCATGATTTACAGACAAATTTATTTTAAAGGATGTTATATTTGCTTTGGTAAGTATAAAAATGTAGTGTAAGCTTGGTTGTTTTATTGCACTGAAATTGACAAAAAATGTTATTATAATCTTTAATTATTTCATTTTGTTTTACAAAAAAATCAACTGCCCTATTTTTATACATCTGCTTTATTTCAAATAACTAGATAAGACAAAAGGATTTTCAATCACTTTTTTGGTAAATAACATTAAAGAAATGGAAATTATTTGCTATTCCTAAATGAAAATTCAAATGAAATTTATTTGTATTTTCTCCCTTTAATATAGATGTTTGAAATATTAAAGATGATTTTATAGCTTTACACTAATTGACAAAAAAATACAACTTATAGAGCTATTAAAAGTCATCTGGAAGTGCAGTTGCAGATATCCGGGCCACTTTTATGTTACTCATTAAGTTTTATTTCAAATTTAATACATCTAATTCTTCCTGGCTTTAATTAAGGAGACATTATAGGTATAAATTAAATAATATATGACTAAGTATATACTAAATAATTTAAAATTCTATCACTCCTGGACTCCTGTTTCCGATAATATGGGCAGATTAGATACCCTGAATGATCCTCTTGATGGAAACAATTAAAATGCTGAGGAAGCATTATTTTAAATGCATTGCTGAGCTATCAAAAACATAAGGAATCTGCTGATCTCACAAAACAAATGGTAAGCAGGACTCTTAGCGAGTAAGTGGACAAGACAAAACCCACTTTGCCCTGAGGTTATCTGCCAAACCATAAAGTTTTGGGGCTTCCACTGGACTTGGTTGCCTTCACATGGTACATGATATAGGAGATAGGAGATGTCTAGGGAATCTAATAGAAGAGCTCCACATAAACCTGGAACTTCAAAGCATTGTGCTTTTTAAGTGTTAGATGAAACAAATAAATGCTTCCATGCCAAAGACGACAGCATGAGACCACGCTTGTCTCAACCTGGGCGCCAGATGAAGGAAAAAATCTCCTGTAAGAATTCATTTTTTCCAAGATGACTGTCACACAAATACTGCTCAGGATTTACCTTTTTTGATGCAAAAGTTTCAAGTGGACAATTTAAATCAGGTGTTGCTGGATTTAGTTCTGGCAGAGTCAACGGCGCTCGCTGATATCCCAAGGGCTTCTTCAGCTTCCCCAGCTTGCTTGCACGTGGTCAGAGTCACATGACTAATTCTGACCAATCGGCTCTAAGTAGATGAGCCACAAGTTACTTCTGGACAGAAGAGAAGCAGAGCTGGTGAGACATGGTCTAACTCTGTCTTCCCCAGAAGGGTTTACCAATGTGGATATGTGTTCCAGATAAAGCATCTGCAAGATATTGGAGACTCAGTTGGCCTGGATGGAGATCACAAGCCCAGGAGAATTCCCTGAACTTACAACAGACTTTTAATAAAAAATCAACCTAACCTATGTTAAGAAACTGAGATTTAGGGCAATTTTGTTATTTAACCTTATCTAGCCTGACCTGACTGATGAAGTACAACTGCCAGATGACTAACAGAAGCAAATACAAATAATCTCAGTACTCAAGGAAGTACCACAGAAAAAAATCTGAAGAACATGAGCAGCCCACGGTCAAAATTCATAAAACATGCACACACAAAAAAACCACAATGATTGAAATCTAGATTAAACAGCCCTCCCCAAACTTCAAATACATGTAATATAAAACACAAAACAAAACAAACAAACAAAAACCCTAAATAAATAAAAATAAAACATAAAACACAAAATTACATTATTATATTTAAAGAAACAAAAGAATAATTTGAAAATATAAGCAGGGAACAAGAAATTATAAACACTAGGAAGATTCAAAATGCGTTAAATAGAACCACTAGGAATTAAATATATAACTGAAGTTAAACACTCAATAGATTAAACAGCACGTTAGAACTGAGGAGATAATTGACAAATCTGAATATAAATCTAAATACATAATCCAAAATGCCATTCAGGAGATTATGAAAGGGAGGTTAAGAGGCACACAAGTAGGGTGAGAAGAGTAACATAGATTTAATCAGAGTTTCAGGAAGAGATCATAGAATCTTTAAAAAGCAATATCCTGGGGCACTTGGGTGGCTCAGTCGTTAAGCATCTGGCTTCGGCTCAGGTCATGATCCCAGAGTCCTGGGATCAAGCCCCTCATTGGGCTCCCTGCTCAGTGGGAAGCCTGCTCCTCCCTCTCCTCCACCCCCTGCTTCTGTTCCCTCTCTCGTTGTATCTCTCTGTCAAATAAATAAATAAAATCTTAAAAAAAAAAAGCAACATCCAAGGAAATAATTACAGAATGTTCAAGAATTATTGAAACATACCAATCCTGAGAACCTGAAAGCCACTTGATTTTCAAACAGGATAAATACACATAAATCTAGTCTTAGATGCATCATAGTGAAATTGCACAATACCAGAGGAAAAGAGTAGCCAGAGATAATTAACAGCTCACTGTCAACAAGCAGAAATATCAGCTTACTCTCAACAGTAATAATAAGAGCCAGAAGGGTAGAAACATTTTTGTATTCTGCTTAGAAAACACTCTTGCCAAACAAGAACCAGACACCAGCAAACTTTCAAATCTGAGGGGAAAATAAAGGCATTTTTAAACAATCATAAACCTAGGGACTTCACTGCCAAAAGACCTCTTAAAAGGAAATTCTAAGGAATGTACTTTAAGCACAAGGAAACTGCTAGATGGAAGGTCTATGATACAATAAAAGAAACAATATGCAAATATATTGGTAAATACGTAGAAAATACCAAGCAAATATTGACAGAATACAAACCAATAAAAATTTCCAACATATGATAGATGACAGATCAAAATGAAAATACTGGACAGGAAGAGCTTGTAAACTGCAAGGATATGAACAAAATTGGCCCTTTTATTATTCAAGAAAAGAGTAGAGATAAAACGTATTATAATAAGTATATATGTTAAAATAGCCAGGGTGGCGACAAGAAGATTGGATATAGAATATATGATTTCCCAACAAGCAGAGGAAAGAAAATGGAAAAAGAAAAACCATCTCAAATAATTGAACACAAAGTAAGAAAGAAAAGAAAAAGAAATAGATCAAAATGGTACAAATAAGAGGCACATAATAAGACGGAAAAATTAATACAAATATATCAATAATGAGAAGAAATGACATGAATTAAAGCCTCAGTATATACCCAAAGGAAATGCTACTTCACAAAAATCACGAACTAAAGTTTTCTGAGCAACATATTCGTAAGAGCCAAAACTCAGAAACTTCTCAAACACCCATTCTGCAGTAGAATGGAGACATAAATGGTGGTATATTTTATACAATGGAATCCTATACAGTGATAAGAATGAATAATCTACAATTATATGCAATAAGATGGATGAATCTCTCAAACATGTTGAGTGAAAGAAGGTAGACATGAAAGATAGTATAGTGTATAATTCCATTTATATAAAGCACAAAAACAGACAAAACTTGTCCATGAGGTTAGAGAACAGTGGTTGCCCTTGGTGAGAGGAAGAGGAAAGACAAGACTGGAAAGGAGACAGATGGGGGATCTGGTGAAGCAGTAAGATTTTCTTTCTTCATCTGGGTATTGGTTACACAACTGAGTCTAGTTTATAAAAATTCATTGAACAATATACTCATGATTTATTACTCAGTAAATGGTTTTAGAAATCCAGGTACATGCTGTTCAGAAGAGACATACCCATCAATTAAGGAAGCAGGAATATTAAAGTCAAAAGATGGAAAAAATGACCAGGGAATTACTAATTAAGTTATTAGACAAAACTGGGCTCAAGGCAAAAAAGCATTATTAGGAATACAGACATTTACTAAAAAATGATATAAAAATCTAAACACAAAATTAAAAACAGAGTGAATGACTTTTGTCAATATATTTGAAAACATTGAGGGAAATGGGTAAATTCTGTGACAAATACAACTTGTTAAAAGTTATTCAAAAAGACATATTTCTATATCCTTTAAAGAAGTTGAATCCTAAACTTTACATGTAATCAGAAAAGACCCGAATCACCAAGGAAATGTTGAAAAAGAAAAACAAAGCTGGGGGCATCACGTTGCCCGATTTCAAGCTATATTACAAAGCCGTGATCACCAAAACAGCATGGTACTGGCACAAAAACAGACATATAGACCAATGGAACAGAATAGAGAGCCCGGATATGGACACTCAACTCTATGGTCAAATAATATTCGACACAGCAGGAAAAAATATGCAATGGAAAAAAGTCTCTTCAATAAATGGTGCTGGGAAAATTGGACAGAAGAATGAAACTCGACCATTCTCTTACACCATACACAAAGATAAACTCAAAATGGATGAAAGACCTCAGTGTGAGGCAGGAGTCCATCAAAATCCTAGAGGAGAACATAGGCAGTAACCTCTTTGACATTGGCCACAGCAACTTCTTTCAAGATACATCTACAAAAGCTAGTGAAACAAAAGCAAAAATGAACTTTTGGGACTTCATCAAGATAAAAAGCTTCTGCACAGCAAAGGAAACAGTCAGCAAAACAAAGAGGCAACCCACAGAATGGGAGAAGATATTTGCAAATGACATTATAGACAAAGCACTGATTTCCAAGATCTATAAAGAACTTCTCAAACTCAACACCCAAAAAACAAATAATCAAGTCAAAAAAATGGGCAGAAGACATGAACAGACAATTCTCCGAAGAAGACATACAAATGGCTAACAGACACATGAAAAAATGTTCATCATCATTAGCCATCAGGCAAATTCAAATCAAAACCACATTGAGATACCACCTTACACCAGTTCGAATGGCAAAAACTGGCAAAAAACAACAAATGTTGGAGAGGTTATGGAGAAAGGGGGAGTCCTCTTACACTGTTGGCGGGAATGCAAGTTGGTACAGCCACTTTGGAAACCAGTGTGGAGGTGCCTCAAAAAATTAAAAATAGAGTTACCCTAGGACCCAGCAATTGCACTACTGGGTATTTACCCCAAAGACACAAATGTAGTGAAAGAAGGGCCATATGCACCCCAATGTTCATAACAGCAATGTCTGCAATAGCCAAACTGTGGAAAGAGCCAATATGCCCTCCAACAGACAAATAGATTAAAAAAAAGAAGTTGAATCAGTAGATAAAATCTCCCTATCACACAAAGTTACTAGATCTACCTAACTTTACTGGAGAATCCTATCATTCAGAGGACAGATAATTCCAAGCTCATCAAGTTCTTCCTGGTAAAAAAAAAAAAAAGAGAGAGACTGAAAGAGAGAAAGGAAGAAAATGCTCAAAAGTCATGTTGGGAAGCCAACCTCACCTTGTTATCAAATTTAATCAAGAGACGTACAATGAAGGAAATCACAAGGTCAGTCTCACTCATGAATACAGATGGGAAAATGCTCTACAGAACATTAGCACACCAAAACCAGCAATAAATATAACAGGTAATATATTATGACCATGTTGGATTTATCCTAGAAAAAGAGGAAACTAATTATTTTGTGATTCTGCATTACAGAAAAAACATAGGATTATTTTTCAACATATGCAGAGAAAAGATTCAAAAAAATGGAAATTTCAGCAATTAAGAGAAAAAATCTCGGCATTAAGAATTGGAGGCATGTTTCTTTCTTTTTTTTTTTTTTTTTTTCCCTCTAGGCTCACTGTCTGCCTGTCTCTCCCAAGATCTGGGCTCTAGGGGGTGCCGACCCCTAAAGACTGTATCATCTAGTTGCCCTTACTCTCAGCTACGTATTGAGTTTGGCCAACGTGAGCAAGAAATTCATGGGTGAGAGGAGAGGAAGATCAGGATATCTCCTCCCCACTGGATGCTACGCCCCAGGCCCCCTGGGACCACAGCGCCTATCATGAAGCCACTAGTTCTCCAAACCAGCTCTCCCTTGATATACTAACAGCAGGTCTAGAGGAGACAAACAGCTTCCTGTCGGATTTCTCACCATCCTTTGTTCGTCTTCCTAACACTGCCCACACCTACATAAATCTCCCTTCACTCAATATTTTTCCACATCCCACCGATACGTAATTAATCTGTGTTATGAGGCACATTGTGTCTCTCCCCTCCAAATTCATATGTTGAAGTCTTAACCCCGTGACCTCAGAATATAAGT